AGATACCCACATAAGCAGGCACACATGCGCACACAAATGCACATGCACACTGACACATTGATACATGCATATACACTGGTGCACACATGCACACACACATTCTGACAGGTATAGACCCACTTGCACACAGGTACACACATGCACACTTACATGCAGACACATGCACACACAGAGATAAACACTAATGGACACATGCCCATGCACACCTACACACGTATGGGCACACCCACCCCAAGAATAATGCACCCTCAGCCCTAGGGGCCCGGAGCCAGGCTCCCTGCACTCTTCAGGAGCAGCATCCTGTTCCAGCTTCACAACTTTGCTGTGCCCTCGCACTGTCCTCCACACCCTCCACAGCACAGACCCACTGGGCTGGCCGCGTTGCCCCTTCAAGCCCTGAGCGCCCCGAGCCTCCAGAGAGCGGCATCGCCCCTGAGGCTGCAAGAGCCCTCTGGTATTTTCATCCTTTTCTCCCTTCTTTGTGTGTGTCTTCCTGTGGGTGGGTACACCCAGCAAGAGAACTGGGCTCACACGCTCGATCTGTCGCCCCATCTCTCCATCCCTCCATCCTCTCAGAGAGCCAGCTCTGACCCAGGATGCTCGCGCTGGGCTTTGGCTTACTGCAGTAAGCTCCAAGCTGAGCTCCGCAGGCTGCTCCCCTTGCTCAGCTCTGACATTCCTCTCTTTCAGGGCCCTTGGCTACACCCTGGTTGTTTACTTGGGGCCACCCTGTTTCCTTGTGTGTTCGCTCACAGCTCTCAGGTCCCCTCAGGGCTGCGCCAGTCCCATCCCACAGTTTCCTGTGCTGTGCCTCCTTGTCATTTGACTCGAGGACCTTTTTATTTTTCCAATTTCTTCTGTGGCTACTGACTACTCAGGAGCACACTGTAATCGCCTCGTGTTTGTGAACTGTCTTTGGCTTGACTTCTGCTGTGACCTGCCAGCACGCAGGAGACTGTTCCAGTTCTTCTGTGCTGACTTAAGCATACCTCTGGCCTAGGACATGGTTTCTTCTGGACAGAGTTCTGTGTGCCTCTGAGAAAAGAAGTGTGCTGTGCTGTCCAGTGAAGCTCTCTGCTACATCTAAGGCCACTCGCTGAGTGGTGATGCTTCTTAGCTCTGCTATTTCTTGGGCCTCTTTGTGCTCACCGGGAGTGAAATCCCCCACTACAGCTGTGCCAGCATCTACTTGTCCTTTGAAGTGTAGCAGTGTTTGTTCCAAGAAATTGGTGTCCTCGTGCTTGCTGCATGGATGCTTACAGCTGCTACCTCTTCCTGTGGAGCTACCCCCTTGCCAATACCTGGTCACGGTCTTTGTCGCTTTGCATCAGCTTGGGCTGAATGCAAGGCAGCTACTGCCGCTTGCTTTCAGCCTGAAGAAGCCCCTCTGAGACGCAAGCAGAGTGACAGCCCGCCTGCCCCACTGGAAGGAGCTTGTGTGTAATACTTTTTTTTTTGGCAGTACTGGGAACTGAACTCAGACCCTTGCACTTGCCAGGGAAACACTTATTCTACTGAGCCATCTTCCCAGCCCTAGAAGGAGCTTGGACTTGTGAGCAGAGGGGACTAGGCCTTAAGTAGGACTGCAGGGGCCAGAGGGGCCATGAAGCAAAAACCACAGAATGGTTGTGAGGACTTGGACAGCGCTGCCTGGGCTGGACTGCCCTGTCCCACTGCATCACAGAGGTGCCCGGCTGTGGCTTTCAGAGCTCGGCTCTGCGTGACCCTGGGGCAGGTCCTGTGCCTGGTCTCCTCCACCAGGGAGGTATGGTTTCTCCTCTTGGAGAGGAGTCAGATGGCAGGGAACAGGCTTGGAGTTAGTTCCCAGGCTCCTCTGAGACAGACCCGGTTCTGGGGTCATTTGCTTTGTGGTACTGGGCAAGGAAACCAGGCCCTCGAGCATGCCAGGCAGGTGGGTGCTCCACCACAGAGCTGCACCCCCAGCTCTGTTCTCCACCTTTCATTTTCTGAGGCAGGACCTCACCAAGGCACAGAATGGCCTCAAACTTGCCATCTTCCTGCCTCTGGGGAGCTGGGATTCCAAGCGCAGGTCACCAGGACTAGCAAGGCCAGGGTTCTTACAGAAGGTAAAGTGGTTCCCAGGAGAACCTGTGGTGAGGAGGATGCAGCAGCCTCCTGGGCAGACTCAGGAGCTGGACAAGGGCGCCAGACGCAGCACCTGTGCTTTTTGCAGAGGTGGACGTGGGCAGGCTAGGACAGGACCAGGAGAAGGAGGAGTGGAGGCCAGGAGGAAGCGGCTGAGTCCCCGTCCACAAGGGCAGTGGGGTGCTGCACTGAGTACACTCCCAGTACCCACAACCACGGGTCTAGGGAGGGGAGAGTCTCCAAAATTAAAGCCAACCCATGCCCAGGAAGGAACAGGCCAGCTGGAGGTGGCCCAGCCTGCTAGGGGTGAGGGGCCAAACCCCAAAAGCATGTACTCCATTCTGCAAACCCAGGGACAGAAGGACTCACTTTTGAAGGCCGACTTTGGCATCCCTGCTGTCTGATGACCACTTTACACCTTTTATTTGTTGGGTTTTGTATTTTAGGACAAATATTTGTTTGCATTTTTTTTCTATTATGTGTGTAGTCCAGGATAGCCTTGAATTCACAAAACCCTCCCACTGCAGCGCCCGAGTGTGGGGCTTACAGGGACACACCACCATGCTGCCTCCCTGCTTCACCTCTTAGGGCTCATCTGAGCCCTTCACTTCCTCCCTGAGGAGAAATTCTGAGGTCACGGCTAGCTCCTCCCTGACCACACATGGGTACCACCGTGGCCGAAGGCTGAGTCACCCAGCCCTCAGCAGAGCATGGTGCCGTCTTGCTGGCTCCTGTGCCCTACTTCCCTCCTGAGAACCCCAACTTCCTCACACTGGGCAATACCAGTGGACCACTGAGTGCCGCCCAGGCTGTGTGTGTCCTGCTGGCCGGCATCCCTCACAGACCCACAGAAGGTGACTGGGCAGTGATCCCTGCCACTGTGTTGCTGACCTGGGTCAGCAAGCCCTCAGTTATGTGGCCGCTGTGGTCAATGGGGACCGGGCGGCCCCAGCAGGACCCTGCCTGCCCTCCACTGCTGCTACCCTTCTCTCTGAAGTAGCCTGGGGACCAGGGCTGGATGCAGAGCCCTCCTGGACTGCCTGTGAGCCACACACCCAGCTGCAGGGGGCCCTGCACCCATGCAGACCCAATGTGGCTCTGCTCCCCAGGCCTGACTGTTGGCGCCAACTGCAGCCTGGCCAAGCTGCAGGACGTCCTGGCCAAGAGCATCACTGAGCTCCCCAGCGAGAAGACGCAGACGCTCCGAGCCCTCGCGAAGGCCCTGCGCAGTCTGGCCAGCCAGCAGGTCCGGAACCTGGCGGTACGTCTGCTGCACCCAGCATGGCATGGGTCTGCCCTCGGTGCTGGGGCCTCAGCAGGCAGAGGCGGGAGTGTTTATGGTAGCAAGCGTCACTGAATAATAAAAGTAACCAAGTGGCTTAGTGACCGCACGGGTGAGAAAAGGACACCATGATTCTCCCTGTTGCTTGGGAAGCCCTGCAGAGGCCTGGTTTAGACTCGGCCGCATCCACAGAGGCAGAGGTAGAGGCCAGCGGGGAGAGACTTCTCTACCTGCGCAGTGCAGCCTGGCTGGGAGCAGTTGGCAGAAGAGAGCGAGCGCTGCGCTCGGAGCTGTGGAACGCCTGTGCTCGCTGCCTGCCTGCACCTGGGTGGGGCCCTAGGAGGCCCTGGGCGGGCCTGCTGCCTGTGACAGCACTTGAGGGGCCCGGACACCCTGGCCCCTGTCAGGGGCTCCCTGGCCCACAGGAACCAGGCAGGACTCAGCAGCGACAGAGGCGCGGTTGCTCTGGGGTGTGGAGGGACCTGGCCCCGGGCTCCAGCCCACCCATGGCAGCCTGAAGGGTGGTTACTGCAGAGGTGGGATAGCAGGACGCTGGCTGGATGCTGCCTCCCAGGCTCAAGGACTTGGCTGGGCTCCTCCCCGCATGGGCTAGGGTCTGCCTTGCCACAGCCGTGAGGCGTCCCTGGGGACCCAGGCACGGTCACCAGTGGCTGAGCACAGTACGTGGGATCTGCCCCTGCAGCCCACCTTCCCTTCTCCCCTGAAGGCCGGCGCTGAGCACCCAGACTCCTCATGGCCCTGGGCAGCTCAGGCCTGCAGCGAGGGGCAGTAGCAAGTTTCTCTCTCCCCAGTCCTTAGGGGGCCACGTCATGAGCCGACAAAGCTCCTCGGACCTGAACCCCATCCTGGCCGTGGGGCAGGCGGCACTCCGACTGCTCTCGGAAGGTGAGTGTGGACTGCACAGCTGAGCAGTGGCATCTTTCTGGGGGTTTCTGGGGCTTCTCCTCAGGTCGGGTTGAGGCTGGGCCAGACCACTATCCCTGGGCAGCCCAGATGCCCTTCTCACAAACACAGCCCCGGGGCCACCTAAGACCTCCGTGGGCTCCACCTCTGCAGCCCCATCCTGGGGCCCCGTGTCCCCTTGCCGCTGGGAAGGAGCCCAGCAGCGAGGAAACAGCAGCTGGGTAGAGGGACAGGGTGGGAGCACCGCCTCAGCCTCCTCCCCTTCTCCCCAGCCAGCCCTAACACAGCTCCTCCCTGCCACTTCCAGAATAACCCTGCCCTGGCCCCTCCCCCCCCCCTTCCTTCCCTTCCATTCCCTGAGTGCTGTTTGCCTGGGCCCCCCCGCCCACCTCAGCCAACCCCAACACACCAGGCAGACAGACCCAATTCACTGCCTGCTCCTGCAGGCATCCAGGTCCTACAGGCATCCAGGTGCAGCCTTCTTTTTTTTTCTTTTTTTTAAGTTTATTTTTTTATGTATTTAGTACATGGTCTACAGGGTCTCACTACACAGATCGGACTTGTAGTGATTGTCCTGTTTTCAGCCTCCCAAGTTCTGGGATTACAGGCATGCGCCACCACGCCCAGTCTCAATCGCTGTCTCAGTGTGTCCTGGGGGCGGGGCCCACACGGCACACTGGGGATTGAATCCGGCCCCTGCACTCTGCCCAAGCAGATGCTTTCATCCACTGAGCTATCTGGCCGGCCAAGTGCAGATTTCTGCTGCGCGCTTTTGCTGCAGGGTCCCACAGTGGAAGGCAGGAGCGGCGAGGCCCAGCAGGGCTCTGTTGCCTCAGTTCCTTTTCAGGTCCTGTCTTTTTTTGTTTTCACTTGTTTTGAGCATGAGCACACAGTACTTCCTTGCCCAGGAGTTGAGGGTCAGTCAACAGGTGGCCCCAGGCCTGGGATGAGCCCCACACCCGAAGCCTGTGGGAACCTGGGTGCTAGGACAAAGCCTGTGAGTGAGCCTTGTGCCTGTGTCCTGGTCCCTGGTGCAGCCCCACACCCGTCTGCTGAATAGGGGAACCCACTGCTCCCTGGGGGGAGCCCAATTCCTGACTGCAGAACGCCCTTTTCCCAGGGGGCGTGAGGCTGATCCCCCTGGACGAGCTCTTCCTGGCAGGGGTAGCAAGCGCCAGCCTGCGGCCTGGTGAGATCCTGGAGTCTGTGCACATCCCGCACTTGCGGAAGGTCAGAGCCCACAGGGCCTTGTTTCCCCTTGTTACACCGGAGTTCAGTCACCCTTAGGAGAGCAACAGGTGACAGAGAAAGCCAGCCTGGAGCCCTGCCCTGCTGGTGACAGAGACAAAGCCAGCCTGGAGCCCTGTCCTGCTGGGTGATCAGCTCAGCACTGGGGCCCTCAGACAGGGCTCGAGGTTGGGAGGGCTGTAGGGTCTTGGTGGGCCCCCCCCTTCTGTGCCCCTGGTCTCAGAGCCTCAGGGGCAGGGCCCCCAGATCCTGCCCCCACACCCCCAGCTCAGGGAGCATCCAGAGCCACCGAAGCCGTGGAGGAAGTGCTGTGCCCAAATCCAAGACTGGCTTCTCAGGGAGGCTGACACACATACTCTGCATACACACACACACACACACACGGGTACACATGGGCACATATGCACATCACATGCACATACATGCACACTCATACATAGGCACACATGCACACGCATACACAAACATGTCCCATGCATCCATGCCACATACACACACATGCACGCATAGGTCGGGCCCACATCTATGTACATAATGTCACACACATGTGCGCTGACGCACGCGTGTGTGCACACAACACACATGCCTCATACGTGCACACGCTGCACACAGTCGCTGACATGAGAGCACACTGCGCAGATGCACACACACAGCACAAACGCAGAGAGCCTGGAGCTCGCAGCTCTGGTGCAGAGCGGCCTTAGTGAAGCTGGTGTCACCAGGGATGCTCCGGCCCACCCCCTGGCTGTGCCCAAAGGCGGGGGCAAAGCAGGTGCTCAGACCTGCACACCCGGCACATGTGGGTCGAGACCGAGGGCCCAGGCAGTGGGACTGCCGAGCCAGCTCCACACCCTCCTGAGCCTTGTGTCCACTGGGGGGAGTTCCGTCCTGCTCCCACTTGGGCTTGGCAAAGGGAAAGGTGCGGGTTTCTACTAACCAGAACTGCAGCCCTCTCGGCTTGAGGCCTGCATTCTACTCCTCCCTCCTCTCTGAAGGGCTCTCAGGTGGTGATGTGGGCAGCTCCTGGAGGTGTCCCCAAGGGGACGGTTCCTCCCACCTGGCCATGAGGGCAGCTCCTGGAGGTGTCCCCAAGGGGACGGCTCCTCCCACCTGGCCATGAGGGCAGCTCCTGGAGGTGTCCCCAAGGGGACGGCTCCTCCCACCTGGCCATGAGGGCAGCTCCTGGAGGTGTCCCCAAGGGGACGGCTCCTCCCACCTGGCCATGAGGGCAGCTGGCGTCACTACTGTGCCTGCCTCTCCTCACCCTCACTGCAGTGGCCTTGTCTCTACAGTGGGAGTTTGTGTCCAGCTTCCGGCAGGCCCAGGCCCCACAGAATGCTATACCACACGTGAGTGCCGGCATGCGTGTGCTACTCGCAGAGGGCACCAGTGTCATCGAGGACCTGAGCATCGCCTATGGCGGAGTGGGTGCCACCACGGTCATGGCACCACGGTCCTGTCAGCAGCTCCTGGGCCGGTGAGTGCTGAGCTAGCCAAGGCCAGTGGGGCTGGGGTGACCCACGCCTCCTCCCCTCCTGCTCTCTAGAATTTGCTACCTGACCCGGTTACCTAGGCACTGCCAGCTAGGGTCCCCTCTGAACCCCCAAATGGGCTGAACCCCCTCCCCAAGCCCTGTCCTGCATGGTGCCCCCGGCTGTGTGGTCCTGTCTAGCACTTCAGCACCAATGTGACTTGTGCTCTGGTGGAGCAGGCCCCTACTCCCGCCTTTGGGACCCTGGGTGTGGCCTCCGTGTCTAGTGGATCCCTGGGCTCCATCCACCTCTGAGCGCGGTGACGCTGGCTTGGAGCAGCCCCAGAGCCTGTGGGAGGCTGAGTCCTGTCCTCTGCCCTCCCACCAGGCCCTGGACAGAGGACACGCTGGGCGAGGCCTGCAGGCTGGTCCTGGGCGAGGTCACCATCCCCGGCGCAGCCCCCGGAGGCAGGGTGGAGTTCAGGAGGACCTTGCTGGTCAGCTTCCTCTTCAGGTTCTACCTGCACGTTCTGCAGGAGCTGAAGACAAGCCGGGTTCCGGGGCCCCCGAGCACCCGGAGCATGAGTGTGCAGCCCTTGGTGAGTATCAGGGCGGCAGGTAGTCCCGGGGTTGAGACCTTGGCTCACACCCCTCCCCTGGCTCTGAGTGTTGGCTGGCAACTTTGGGGTCCCCTACAGTGAGAAGCTGCACCATCCCCGCCCTCTACCCTCCACCCCCAGCACGTGCCCAGCTGTCACATTCTTAACGCCTCGGGACAACTGGATCAGGCCTCTCCCAAAGGCCCACTTTACCTAGATGTCTCCTAGTAAAACCCCACCTGTGGAGCACTGTGGCACACACTGTAACCCAGGCACATGGAAGGCTGAGGCAGGAGGGTTGCAAGTTTGAGACCAGAGTAAGCAACTTAACGAGGCCCTATCTAAAACTAAAAAGGGCTAGAGGTGTAGCTCAGGGTAGAGCACCCATAGGTCTAATCCCTAGTTTGGGGGAAGAAGGCACACAAAAGAAAAACAGACCCTGCCTTGCTTGGGAGCATCCCGCTCTGAGGTCCTGGGTTGGGGCGGTGTACACACCTGGAGGCCCCAAATCTCAAACCTCTGGCTGCACCAGCCTCCCTCAGCTGTGAGCTCCAGACCCCCAGGCCTCGTGCAGACATGTCACCTGTCACCTGTTCTGCCAGCCGCAGACGTCCACACTCCCTGGCCCACCACAGCTGTGCTGAGACATAGTTCACCACAGTCCAGCACGCATGTGCAGAGCCAGCTTTCTGGCAGCTGTGTGCCCTGGGCACAGCACCTCCCCGGCAATGGACACCACCCCCGTCACCGGAGCCTGGCCACGTCACTGCCCACCCACCCTGCGGCTGCTTATTCTAGAGTTTCACACTCAATATGACACATAAAAGAAAGGTTTATTTCCCAGGATGACCAAAGCCGATCTGCATAGTAGCATGCTAATGTGAAGTCACCTCCTATCTTTTCTGACTGAACTTCTAGAATAAATTGAGTGAAGCAAAGCCTCCCTCCTCCCCCACCTGCCGGGACCGTGGCTCACCTTCCCTGCATGGGTCTTTAGCCACCATCCACTGCCCAAAGTATCCACCTGCCACAGCTGAATGGAAAGCAGCCCCACACCAGTGGCACCAGGGAGGCCAGTCCGGTGGCTCTGCAGGAGGACTGGTGCCTAGGAGCCGGCAGGACTGGGCGTTTGTGGACGGAGGACTCCTGCTTGTTCCCAGTGGCTTAAGCAGTCCTCCACACACACACATGCACATATACACACTCCTACATAGGAGACCCTGGCTCCCAGGCTGGCCTCCCCCTCTCCGGGGGCCCAGCGGTCTTCCCGTGTTTGGAAAGGATGGGGAAGGGCCTCCACCGTGGGCCCTGTCCGGCAGTGAGGACCACGGTGCCTGTGCTCTGGGGGACTGCCCAGCTTCTGCTGATGGCCGCACTGTCCCCCAGGACATCTGGCACTATCCCCGGCTCCCAGACCTGACCCTCAGTGCGCTGGAGGACCTCCCTGCTACAGTGCCCCAGGGCATGCAGACGTATCAGGTCAGTGGGTGCCCCTCACATCCCAAAGCAGGTAGGGGACCCCTAATTCTTGGTTCAAAGCTGCCCGAGGCACCACCCACCCCCTTGGAGGAGGAGGAGCCCTCCATTGCCCCCACTTGGCCAGAAGGCTGGCCCCTCCCCTCCAAGGCACAGTGACAACTCCCCACCTGGCTATGTCATCACGCTGGTCCACACACTCTCCAGAGGGAATGGTCCAGTCAGGAGGGCCAGGAGCCAGGCCACCGGGAGACAGATGGGCTTGAGCTCCTGTCTTCCCTGCAGCGAGTGAACCTCCAGCAGCCATCTGAAGACCCGGTAGGCCGTCCTGTCATGCACCTCTCTGGCCTGAAACACGCTACAGGGGAGGCGGTGTTCTGTGATGACCTCCCCAAGGTGGACGGAGAGCTGTCCATGGCCTTGGTGACCAGTCCCAGACCTCACGCAAAGATCGTGTAAGTACACGGCGAGCTTCGGGCACCAGGGAAGGGAGGGGCTGGGGTGGAAAGGCCACAGTCCTGGGACAAGCTCAGCCACACCCCAGGTCTCCCTCTGAGCCTCCTGGGCCCCTAGCTGTTCAGGGCGACCAGAGCAGGGCAGGCCTCGAGCTGCCGCCCTGATGTGGAAGCACCCACTTCACTGTGAGCTCCCTCTAGGCACACACACTACACACATGTGTCGTAGTATCACGCTCCCAGGGACGCTCCCTGTGGCCGGCCACGCTGCCCCTGGCCAGACGCGGGGCTCCCTGGGCCCCGGCCACCCCACTGTGTGCCGGCTCAGCTGCTCCCGCTGCGTCCTCAGCCCTCCCTGTGCTCAGGTCAGTGGACCCGTCTGAGGCCCTCAGACTCCCCGGGGTGGTCGACGTGATAATGGCCAAGGACATCCCAGGCACCAACGGCACAGAGGACGACAGGCTACTGGCTGTGGATGAGGTACACAAGCAATGCACCTTCCCGTGGCTCTGTGGGGACAGCCACCAGCTGCCCCAGCCCGCTGGCTGCAGCCCCCCCACCCTGGTCCTTTGTCGGGTCCCCTGGGCTCAGGAAGTGCCAGGGTGGGAGGAAGCATCATAGTGCCACCTCAGCTGGACGGCCCTCAAGTCCATGTCCTTCCATGGCTCCACCTCATCCCTGCTCCCAGGACACCTGAGTCACCAGCCAGGCTGAGGCTGAGACCTGTCCCCACCCACATCCTGTGCTCTGAACAGGTGCTATGCGTGGGCCAGGTCATCTGTGCTGTGGTTGCTGACACGGATGTGCAGGCGAAGCGAGCAACAGGGAGGGTCAGGGTCACCTACGAGGATCTAGAGCCAGTAATCCTCAGCATCCAGGTGAGCACTGGGCACTGGCTGCCTCCTCCTGCAGCTGGGCCAGGAGCCCCGAGGTAAACCTCCCTCTGCGGGACCCTTTTGGGGACATGGCTTTTTCCTTGGCATTGCCTCGTGTTCTCTGGAAGACACTACTTCTGTGACTTGTAATTACCATTGGCTTCAAGAACAGGGGGACAAAGCACAGAGATCAGAAGTTTCTCTCTCATGTTCTCCAAGTCCAGAAGCAGCCATCCAGGCCTCCTAGGGTGTCTCCATCTGCGTGGTACTGGTCAACAGAATCCCCAAGACCAGGGGATTTATAAGAGCAAAACCTTACTTCCCACGGGCCGGGAGTCCAGCAAGTCCACGGTGGGCAGGCTGCGCACAGGTGGTGCCATGCAGCAGAGGCAGAACTGAGGTTTCCATCAAAGGCTCTTCTCAGGGCCGACCCGCGCCCCAGCATCGCTGCCTGGGATGTCTCCACACAGCTGCCCTGGGCTTAGGATCCAAACGCGAACGTCAGGGCCCTCCATCACGTGGGTGCATCCTGCATAAGGGGGTGCACACGAGTCTTTTGGGTGGAATCCTATGGTTTTGATGTAAATGTCCTCAAAGCCATGAGTGACTGTGGGCTCTGGACTACGGGGTGGCAGCTGCCTCGTGGCGAGGTCGCTGGGCCTGGCCTGGGCAGGCTCCTCTCCCTCTGCTCCCCCTCTCCATCCTCCAGCCCTCAAACTACGGACCAAAAACTCTGCAAACTTTGGCCCTAACCCAACCCTCCTGCCTTAGCTTGCAGTCCCTTGTCCCAGAGGCAGGGAGAAAGACCAAGACGCAGTGTGGCTCCAAGCATGCCAGGTTCCTGGGTCCATGGCTGCTTTTGAAATGCTGGCTGTTAACCGGGTGCCTCAGACACAGCACCCAACCCTACAGCTGAAAAGAGCTTTATTTTGCTCACAGTTTTTAGACTCCATCTGTGGTTGGCTCAGGCATAAAGCAGCATGGTAGAGGGGGCTGCTGGCAGGGAGCTGTCACGGCAGGGCCACCAGGACACAGAGGGAGAGGGGGGCCTTCTCCACCTTCCCTTCGTGACCTCACTGACCTCCTGGCTGGCTCTCTCCCCGAGTCTGGAAGACTCGCCCTCCAATGTTGCCACGGCCCAAGCGCTCTCCAGCCACATGGCCCCTAGAGCAAGGAGATCATGATGTGGGTCCCTGAGCTTCCGCTAGAAAAAACTCCAGGGAATGAAGCGAGAGTCACCTGGCCTTTGTGTCCCCCTCCCCTCAGGAAGCCGTGAAGCAGAGCTCCTTCCTGTGCCCCGAGAAAAAGCTTGGGCAAGGAAATGTGGAAGAGGCATTCGAGAAAGTGGACCACGTGGTCGAAGGTGAGCAGCTCAGGGCCCTGAGTGTGTGATTACCTCAAAGGTCACCTTCTTAAGTCCGGATCTCAATATAGCCACTGCTGTCCCCCTGTGTGTGTGCAAACCTGTGTGTGAGTGTGCGTGTTGTGTTCGGGGGTGAAGGGTAGGGAAGGTAGGGAGGACAGAGTCAACATTCTGGTGAGTCTGGGGCAAAGGAAAGAACGGAAACTTCCAAAGCTATAGCCTCTGGTGCCATCACCCTCGTGTGCCACCAGACTGGTGCCTGGCTCCATGGTAAGGACGCCGCAGGCTGCCAGCCCCTGTGGGCCTGTGACGCTGGCTTCCAGCCCACACGAATCATCCTCCATGCCGGCTTGCAGGAGAGGTGCACGTGGGGGGGCAGGAGCATTTCTACATGGAGACCCAGAGGGTTCTGGTCATCCCCAAGGCTGAGGACCAGGAGCTGGACATCTTCACCTCCACCCAGGACCCAGCCCACGTGCAGGTGAGAGTCAAGGGCCCGGGGACCCTCCTAGCTGCGGGCATCTGGGGCCCAGGCACTGGACATGCCCAAGGCAGCAAGGCCCAGAGCCTCTCACGCGTTCCCGGTTTTGTCAGTACTGAAAAAGCCCCAGGGTCGCCTCAACCTCCAAGTCCACTTACTTGTGGGAGGCTCAGGTGAGACTCCTGACCGGTGCTACCCTGCTGGAATCTCGGGCCGCTCACCCCTCAGCAGGAGCGCCTGCAGTCACTTAGCCGGAGTGTGGCGCTTGCACACACCCTGAGTCGGGCCGTTGGAGCCTGGTTTCCCCAGCTGGGATTTAGGCGCACGGTGAGGCAGGAATCGGCTCCTGCAGCTGCCCCTGAAGACCCCAGTTTTCCGAGTTGTTCCAGGCGACAGAAAGCCTCTCCCCTTAGGAAGCTTCCATGATCCCACTTTTCCAGAAAACAGTGTCTTCAACACTGAACGTCCCCCTCAGCCGGGTCACCTGCCACGTGAAGCGTGTGGGCGGAGGCTTCGGGGGCAAGGTGGGGAGGCCGGCCGTGCTCGGGGCCATCGCAGCCGTGGGCGCCACCAAGTGAGTGCAGGGCCTGGCGCGGGGCTGGGGCAGGTGGCGCGCGGGGCCGCTGGTGCTCCATCCGTCGCAGACTGTGGGTGAGGGCCCCACGCCTTTCCACCCTTCCAGCCCTTGTAGAAGTCACACCCGGCGACTTCGAACGCTGATGTGTGTGCGTTAAAGAGGAAACTCTGCCTTCCTAAAGCAGCTGCTCAGGCAGGGCAGGGACCGGATTCAATCTCCCGCGTGGGGCGCGCTGAGACCGCGATTGAGTCTGGGCTTGGTGGCGGCACCGTAATCCCAGCACTTGGGAGGCTGAAAACCGGAGGATCACTACGAGTCCAATCTGTGTCGTAAGACCCTGTAGACCCTGTACTAAATACATAAAAAATAAAATAAAATTCATAAAAAATATTTTTTAAAAAACCAACACTAGGGGCTGGGGAAATGGCTGGGTAGAATAAGCACTTGCCTGGCAAGCACAAGGACCTGAGTTCAAAACCCCGGTTCCACAAAAAAAAAAAAAAACCAACACTGCCTTGCCCTTGGTTCACTCCAGAGCCTGAGCAGGGACCCACACAGGGCCCCAGTGCACCCTGCTCCCCAGTCGTTCCTCCCACCCTCGGACCCAAGATGAGGAGGCCCAGGGAGAGGAGGTGACCACAGGGGCCGGGGTACCTCTCCTCTTCTGGCCAGCAGGCAGTAGGCCCCTATCACATAGCCACGTGCCGTGCACCAGGGCCTGCCGCCTATGGGAACTCAGTGTGGCTCAGGGTGAACTCCAGACGCAGCCAGGGAGGGAACAGCAGGCTCTGAGCCTTCTGCTCACCCAGGGGTCCCAGTGACAGCACAATCAGCTCCGGACTCCCCACCAGAGCTTTCCCAGGGGCAGTGCCTGGCGTCCGACACAGAGCCGGGGGCCACCCGTGTTGCCAGCCTCTGTGGTTTAACCTCCCACCAAGTGTGGCCCGGCAAGAGCACAGGTGTCAGCGCCAAATGCCCCAGCAGACTGTCCCCAGGCTGCTGAGGTCAGGCCCTGGAGGTTCCTGCCTCCATAGTAGACCACTTGCCTAGTGTGATCCCCTGTAGCTTCTAAAGAAAAAGAGAGCAGGGGTGTAGCTCAGTGGTAGGGCACCGCTCAGCAGGCCTGAGGCCTGGATTGTACTGCAGGGAGATGGAGGGAGGGAGGAGAGAGGGGAGGGGAAGGAGCAGTGAGAGAGGGCAGGGTTGAAGGACTGGGGAGGAGGGGCCTCCTGGCCCCCATTCAAGCCCTGCATTAGAATCAGGAGAGTGGACAAGAGTCCTGTGCCCCCAGTGGTCCAGCCCCATGGTCCCAGTCACCCACCCTGCCACTTGTCCCCTAGTGAGGTGTCCAGTGCTAGACTGGGGAAATGGCGCCCTCTAGTGGGTCACAAGCACAGAGGCAGCAGGGAACCTTCTGGGGGCAACAGGGCGGTCAGGGAGGCAGGTGGGCTCCTGGGGTGGCGGGGACGACAGGAGCAGACCCCTCCAGAAGGGCACAGTGAGTAGGTGGGGAGAAGGGGTAGGTCGAAGCCCGACTGAGATTTGCTTCCTTAGAACTGGTCGTCCTGTGCGCCTTGTCCTCGACCGTGAGGAGGACATGTTGGTAACTGGGGGAAGGCACCCACTGTTCGGAAAATATAAAGTGAGTATTGAGATAAAATCCTGCAAGCCAGGTGTGGTGGCACACGCTGTCATCCCAGCACTCAGAAGGTGGAGGCGGGAGGGTCCCCAGCATATCAAGGCCAGCCTGGGCTACAGTCTAGTAAGGACAGCCAGAAATGCACAGCGAGACCCTGTCTCAAAAAAAAGAATGTTCTAGATCATTAATATTTTGATAATTATCATAACATGAAATAAAACTAAAAAGAAAGAAGCAGGCATGCAAAATTCCAGGTTTTATAATATTTCAAAGAAATAACCATGTTATAGGTACACTCCTGTTAGCCCAGTACTACGGAAGGCAGAGTCAGAAGAGTCACAAGTTTGAGCCTAGACTAGACAACTTAGTAATTTCATGAGACCCTGTCTCTAATTTTTTTTTTTTTTAATTTTAAAGGTCTGGGATGTAGCTCAGTGCCAGGGCCTTGGGTTCAATCCCCAGTACCACTCATGATGTGATTTGCTCCACAGTACTGGGGAAGATGGCCGTGGCCGTGCTTGCCCCCCAATGTGGAGCTCGCAAACAGAAGCAAGATTTTGCTAGACGCTTCCATTTGCAGGCGGAATCCCTCACAGAGCCATGCAAGGGCAGGCGTGAACAGCTCCTCTCAGAGCCTTGAGAAGCTCACTCAGACAGCCGAAGAGCTCCAGCCCCACCCACCTGGCCGACACACAGCCACCCCCAGGGCCACCCACTGCCACCCTCACTACCACATGCACGGTCCCCTCTCCTAGTGCATGAGCAGCCAGGCTTTCCTGTCACGGCCACCACAACCTGTCTCCACACTGACCCCTGTCCAGGGAAGAGCCACACACCCAGTCATTGCCCCCAGGAGCCCTCCAAGAATAAGGACATGGGGTGAGACCACACGCCATGGGCCAGCCAGTGTACAGAGCCCACCTCAAGCTCCCACTATGCCAGGACATGCAGAAGTTGGCCCGTCCTTCCAGGAAAGGGCTGGGGCCCAGGGGGCCTTGCACACTGAAGCAGACAGTAAGGTGTCCCTCCTTTGTGCCAGGTGGGCTTCATGGACAGTGGACGGATCAAAGTTCTGGACATCGAGTGCTACATTAACGGGGGCTGCACGCTGGACGACTCCGAGCTGGTAGGTGGCTGGGGACCGCGGATGACACTTACATGTCTCAGGGCTTCTCTTATCTGAGAACCCCAGGTCTAAACAGAGGAAAATAAGATTATCAGAACAAGGAGATGACCCCAGCAGGGGAGGGTAGAATGGCATCAGGGAACAAGGATTCATCAGATGCCCATGCCAGGGCCCACACACATGGCAAACACAGACAAGAAGACAGCACACCAAGAGCCCAGGGCACAGGCGAGGCCAAGGAAGCAATGCCTCCCGTGCACTGGCCAGTTCCACAAGCTGCCCGCAGAGAACTTTCCACTGTCCACCTCCTTTTGCAGGTAATCGAATTTCTCATACTAAAACTGGAAAATGCATATAAAATCCGAAACCTCAGGCTCCGGGGCTGGGCATGCAGGACACACCTACCGTCCAACACAGCATTTCGTGGCTTTGGCTTCCCTCAAGGAGCCCTGGTGACAGAAGCGTGCATCACTGCAGTGGCAGCCAAGTGCGGCCTTCTGCCAGAAGAGGTAAAGCTGGCCCTGGGCGTAGGGTGGGCCTGCCACCTGGCATTCTGGGAGGCTGAGGCAGAAAGTCACAAGTTCAAGGCCAACTGGTGACTTAGCCAGACACTATCTCAAAATTAAAAATAAAAGGGGGGATGCTGTAGCTCAGCATTCAGAACCTGAGTTCAATTCCCAGTCCTGAGAAAGGAGAAAGAGGCAGAGGAGAAAGAAAAGACAAGGCTGTAACCAAGGTCATAGCCAAAACCGGTGAAGACCCGGCAAGGTGGAGATCCAACCGTGCCCTGCCAAGACTCTATAACCAGCCGCGGCTCAGATCCCATAGAGACGAGCGGCTGCCCAAGGGGCTCACCCCACCCTGCTCCCACTTTCAGGGTGCAATAACTTTTCTTTGTGTTTTTTTAGTCCATACAGAAATAAGTCTTTTAAAGGGCCAGGGAGATGGCTCAGTGGAATAAGCGCTTCCCTGGCAAGCGCAAGAGCCTGAGTTCAATCCCCGGTTCCA